GTGTGTGTGTGTGTGTGTGTGTGTGTGTGTGTGTGTGTGTGTGTGTGTGTGTTGTCATGTTCGCTGTACACAACTCTACAAAGAAACATGGCCATGCCAGACGGTTTGGCCTGCACCTGTTTCCTTTCTCCCGGGCGGCATCTGGCCACAGAATGCTCTGCCAGTGCTGCTGCATTGAAGCCAGTGCCTGAATGTCCGAGCTACCCCGGCCTCCTCTCGTTCGTCCTTCGCGAGGTGAGGATCCGGGACGAGGCAGGCTTTCCCGACTGCCTTGCGGTCTGATTCGGGGTCCCAACCTGTGTAACTAATGGGAGGCTGGGCATACCGAATAATTACAGAGGCTTGCACCTTTCTCCGGGCCAGTACCCTCTCGCCAGGCCTTCACTTGGGGACCGACCTTTCTTTTCTCTCGTGGCGGCTAAGCGGAATTCTGCACAGGCGCCCTATTTAGGGGCTTGCCGAGGCCCAAACATGGAAATAATGAAGTTTTGTTTTGGTAGCTGTGTCAGCTGATCTCCTTTCCCTTGTCGGTATTGTGTGCGAGGTCGGGTATGCCGATCTTCCTTGATTAACTTCACATGCGCTTGAACCTCTGCTGTAGAGAATGTTCTGTTCCAGAGTTTGGCAAGCTGCATGTAGGGTGATTTGGCCAAGATAAAACATCGTCTATTGCGGCTCTCCCAGTGATGGGTTTTGCTGTTGCCAATTTATCCTCTTTGGTAACTGTAGCGCGCGATTTGACTGCGTTGCACCCTGGCTTCAGTTCACAATGCTGGGGACCAGGTTGCCAGGGGGTGTTGCCTTGTCCTGTGCTCTATTGATCTGTAATAGCAATAGTTTTGCCTTTACTCTCCTTGAGCGTAAACCACGAGTACCATGGGCCCCATTTTCTGTGACCAAAGGGAGCCAGCTGTCGACAGGCTGCGACATTAAAAGTGCGGCCTCCAGAAGTTGCGGTAGGGTCCCATTACTGTGGCTGTTTAACAGTGTTTTTTGCAGATGCCTTAATTTGATGATGACTCCTCTCAAGGATTAGCTGGGTTGTGATTATCTTTCTGGCAAGGATAAATGGCACTCTTGATCTTCTAGTGTGCTATTGTGTTTGGCTATTTCTTAGCAAGATGACACCTTTTGATTCTTATATTTGCCAGCAGTCTCTTCTTCTTCTTCTTCTTCTTCTTCTTTTTTTTTTTTTTTTGTCAGCAGTGACCAGCAGTCTGTTTTGAATTCTAATATATGTGTATGGGACTTGGCTTGTGGAACAGTTTCCTTATGTTACAGCCTTGGTGGGCACAATCTTTGTGATTGGACGGATTCTGTATTTTATTGGCTACTCATCTGGCAACCCAGCTGGCCGTCTGGCAGGAGCGTAAGTCGCTTTCAACATTTCTTTTATGTGGATTAAGCCTCCCCTCGAGTTTTTGAAATGTTTGCTGGCTTGTTCTGTCGGCTGTGGACTTCGTTTTCCGTTGTCTCCACCATCTGCAACATTTGCCCTTCTCTCTGAGACCAAACTGGAACCTGCTGACTTGGATAAAACTGCTCTCTCTCTTTCGCTCTCTCTCTCTCTCTCACACACACACACACACACACACACATACTCACATACTCACCATTGCTCCCTCCCTCGTACCTCTCTCCCCTTCCATATGTGTACACATGGACTACCTTCTCTGCTCCTCTTCCCCTATCTCTGTTTGCTATGTTTCCCTCTGTTTCTGAAAATTGAGACAATATTGCTTGATGAAAGGCATGCATTCCTCCTAGCAGTGTGCTGTGCTATGAAACCGCGTGCCTTGTCTCAGCATGCCAACTACCGCAAATACATGTACCATTTCATGAAAACTCTCAGATCAGGGCGGTGATCACATCTCGCAGGTGCATTCCTCCTAGCAGTGTGCTGTGCTATGAAACTGCGTGTCTTGTCTCAGCATGCCAACTACCGCAAATACATGTACCATTTCATGAAAACTCTCAGATCAGGGCAGCGATCACATCTCGCATGCCTGTCTCTCCTGCCCACATCTTCAGGACGACAATTGATGGCATAACTAAACGTATCAGACGAGATCAATATAAAGATGCGACATACGCAGAGTCAGAAGATGATGAAGTCAAAGGCCTAAGATATAACATCCTACCAGTCGTAGTGACACAACAAAACACACATTGATATTCAGCGGTGGCAACAGGAAAGGGGGAAGGGAGAGAGATAAGCGACGAAGGGAATCGGAGGGAGGGAGGGAAAAGCAGAAAGGGACGGAGGGAGAGAAAGAGAGAGAGAGGGGGTGGAGGAAACGTAGGGAAAAGCATGCATGAAGATATAAAAGGGGGGCCAAAGAAGAAGAATGCGAGATAGGCAGCCACAATCATCACTGGAACGGAGCGCCTGACGACGGCGGAGTCGCCTAATGAGTAGCAGAGGTCGGCTATGCCCAAAGCAGCTTGGGTTACTATGGACGACTCAAGAGACGGGAATAGGTTGCTTCAGAAAACACTTTCCATGCGTGTGAGAGAACGGAGCCCCCTTTACATACTATCGTGACCGACCGAACATTTGCACGCACTCGTTCATTTGAGGATTTAAAGTAGTGAGATCGGCTGCCTCCCTCCCTGTTGAGGACATAAAGGAGAACTAACCGCCTTAAGGATGGAGAAAGGGGAAACCGATTCGACGCACCATCCTCTTTCAATATGCGAAACCGACATTTCCCATTCTTCTCCTATTTGCTGCACGGCATTTCCTATTCTTACCCGGATTAGGTCTTTCCCTGTTCGCTGCACAGCATTTCCTTTTTTTTTTTTTTTAAATCGTCAGACAGTCACACGGATTTTTCCGGCATATGGGTACGCCGGCCGGGTTAACTCATCACTCGTGGAATAATGTACACTTAACCAGTTGCAGTCTGTGGGTTTAACAAAGACATACTGCACAGCATTTCCTATTCTTACCCTGGATAACATCTTTCCCTGTTCGCTGCACGGCATTTCCTATTCTTACCCCGGATTACGTCTTTCCCTGTTCGCTGCACGGCATTTCCTATTCTTCGCCCGCCCTGTCGGGCGTGACCCAATCATGCATTTGTCAGCCTCTAGTAAAGCAGAGCAATGGTGCACTGCAGGAGGTACAGCCACTAATAATCCCGACACGTGGAAGCCATCTGTACGAGGGAGGTTGCGTGCAAAACCTACCTGATCCTGTCATGGAAACACTGCGTACACACCTGCAAAGTCCATATTTCATCTGCAGGTCTGGAAGGACAACCTACATACATGTGTTCAGGTCAGGGAGAGGTAAAACAGTATATACCATCATGCCAGGAATCAGTTGGAAGTCGTATCCACACTCAACCACGTGCAGAAGATGATCTGAGAGTGCCTCACACACACCAAGGAATTTGTGTGCCAAGATTAGAGCAGTGAACAGCATCTAAACGGGATAACTAAGGGAACGATTAAGCAATCCTACCTTCATTTTACATGGAGGTATACAGACATTGACTAGGTTTGAAACCGATTGAATGCTGGAGCGACGTCCTCTGCCTCGCCCAACTGCCCATCATCATTTGCCTCACTGTCCACTTGTTGAGTCACCTATGCCTCTGCCACATCCTGGTCTTCATTCCTAACATCTTCAGCTTCCACAGCTCATGCGGGAGGACTCACCTTCTGCTTCGACTTTGAACGAGGATGGAAGTCAAATGAGATGTCGTTTTTACTCACTTTTTTCAAATAGAACGCACCTTCGAATATAATGCCCGGGCGTTATATTTGAATGTTCCATGGGCAGAGTGTCTTGAAGAGTTAGTGCCGTAGTATACATGGGTTTTACAGTGCGGGGAAAGGGGGGGGGGGGGGGGGGGACATGGGTTTTGAAGAGGGTTGAATGATGTTTTTGACTTCAAGGGGTATATTTCGGCTTGATTTTTTGTTTTTATTTATTTATTTTTCCCGAGTTTTTTTACTTCCAAGGAGGCCTGGCGCCGACTGATGCCAGAAAAGAAAGGTTCGCCGTGCAATAAAGAGGAAGTCCTAAGACAGCCCCTGTTCTGCAATCCTTGGATTAAAGACACAGAGCGCGAGCCCTGGACTCTCCGACCTAAAGACCGCAGATGGCTCTCATGGGTTGAAGGAGGTGTATGGCAGATCAAACGTCTGTGGTCTGAGGACCGGCAAGAATGGCTTAGCGAACAGGATCTGCGCACCACCCTGAAGGGTTGTCACCTGCTGTCCAACAACCTATTGGAGATTCATCACAGCATCCCCCCCTCATGGACGACCCTCATAAAAGAGACACACACGTGGGAACCAGACGACTGGGGATTACTCACCACACAGTCCACATCAACAAGAGCCTACCAGTTCATATCCAAACCGCACCCCACTAACTACCAGGCCAACTTCGTTTCCTACCCCATCGCCAGACACAGCCTATACGAACTAGAAGCCCTGAACAAAGCAGCACAGCCTATGTGGCACCCTAGGCCGCGGCCGCAGGATCCGAGTCCGCGGCCAGGATCCTAGGCCGCAGGCCCGCGGCCGAGGCCGCGCGCGGCCGCGCGCCCTCAAAATCCGCGTGTGAGGTTGGCCTGCCCACGTCGGCCGCTGCAGGCCTACGCAAAAAAAAAAAAAAATCAAAAATTCCGGGGGGGGTGGGGTGATTTGTGATATGTTAAAAAAAAAATTAAAAAAATAGAAAAAAAAGATGTGATTGATTGATTGATTGATTGATTAAATGATTGATTGATCGATTTTTTTATTTTTTT